ATTTAATCCTCTTGTTGAAGCCAAAGTGCAGCAGAAGCTCATTAACTGACAAACGGAAGTTTAACAAAAACTGCATTTGTACAACTTTGTGGCAGTAAGCCTGGAGCATCATTACCACAAGCAGGCAGAGCACATAGGCCGTGTGTTGTGCCAAGTGCCACGCATAAGCATGCATGCATGCGCGCGCACACACACGCACAAACAAACAACAAAAGCAGGACAGAGCCACAAAAGCTAGCGCCAGTAACACACAATGACAGCGAAAGTGATTTGTCCGTGTCAAAACAAAATTAGCCGTTTTAGGCCAAATTAGGAAATCGATGCAGAGGTCAGAGCAGCAGCTGTGTCAGCTAAAGTGACCAGAATTAAAGGCTTTTAGCACCGATGAAACATCAAGGCCACTGTGGATGCTGACTCAAAACAAACAGGATCTGCACTAACTGGACATTTTATTAGGTACACCCTGCTTTTACCTAGCTTGGACACCCTTTTGCCATCAGAACTTTCTTTGTTTTTCATGGTTCAACAAGGTGTTTTAAATATTCCTTTTGCTTCATAGTGACATATAGGAATCACACAGTTGTTGCAGATTTCTCCGCTGCATATCCATAATATATGATCCACCATTCCCTAAAGGTGCTCTGCGGGATTGAGAGCTGGAAGCCATTTAAGTACAATGTTCAAGAAACTAGTTTGAGATCATTTGAGCTTTGATGCTCAGTTGGTACTAGGGTCTGCCAAGAAACTACACCCACCATATCAAAACACCACCACCATTAGCCTAAACAGTTCATACAAGCCAGGATGGATCCATGCCTCATTTTATTTGTGCCAAATTCAGATCAAAATGTCACAGCAATAATTGAAACTCATCACACCAGGTTGTATAACAGGTACCGTTTCCTGTTCTTAGACAGCAGAAGTGGCAGCCAATGCAGTTTTCTGCTCCTTCAGCCCATCAGTTTCCAAAGTTTGACATGTGCATTCACAGATTATGCATACCTGGGTTTTAGCAAGAGGTCCACCAACGCAAACAACCATTTCCAACAACCATGCCATGCTCAAAGTCACTTCTTCCCCATGCTCAGTTTGGTCTACCTGCCTCAGTGCATCAAGTTGCTGATATGTTAAATTACAATAAATTAAAATTAAAATTTAGACTGCCAGTAACCAGAAAACAGCAGCAAAGGTAAGTCACAAGGTAAGACTTTGCAAAAGTCTTGTGGCAAAAGGTGCGTCGCAAAACATCTGACGTGATGAAATCACTTGTGGTAAATAGACATAGCCCAGTGTACGGGAACGCTGTAGAATGTGCACACACCAAATTCAACTTGTTGAGCTGCTAATTTGGCTATATTCCAGCCCATGCTCAACAGTGAGCAATCTCTGTGTTTTTAGTAGACACAGTAGACTATAATGGTAGAAAACACTGACAGTTAAAGGTTTCCTTTCTGCAGGCATTTACGGATGAAGGCAGAAGGCTGAATGACTCAGGCTTGACTTTTTTCTCCCATCACTCAGGTTTGCAGGTTTGGTGCAGCTTGCACCAAGTTATGCATCAGTGGGTTGCCCTTGGATACAAGCCATTTCTGACACAGAAAGCCGCCATTCTCTAAAACCACAATGTTACTGAAGTTTCCGTGAAACTGCTTTAAGTTCTAGAGGTTTTTGTTTGCTTTTATTGGTGAACTTCAGTGATGAATTTTGTCCATGTTCCCCACAATGCTGACATTTATTCTGACTTTCCATTTTGTAAAGCATCTCTATTTTGATGTGTGTTTATTCAAGTGGCAAATTCCTTGTACACCCCCCCCCCTTTTTTTTGGTTATTTTTTTTACCCTCCCCACACCTCAGGAGCCCATAGAGCAGGGGTGGGCAATCTCAGTCCACGAGGGCTGGTGTCCCTGCGGGTTTTAGATGTGTCCTCAAACCAACACAGCTGATGTAAATGGCTAAATTAGCTCCTCAACGGCTGTATCCCAATTCAGGGTCTGCAGCCTTAAAGTACGCAGCCTCAACGATCCTCAAGGGCCGCGTACTCAAAGACCACTAAGGCCGGAAGTGCGAGGCTTGTGAAATGGGACGGTCTAGCCTCCGTTGCGCTGCCTAGGCTGCCTAGCAACCATGATACTAACAGCTGGAAACGTGTCATACAGCTTTGTTTGACAGAGATGAAGGAGAAAATCTTTTGTTCATTTGTTTGTTTCTTTCTACATGAGCTTTGATCATTCTCTGTAAGATTAAGCTCAGCTATTGAACGGCGTATATTTTAAAGTAAAGGCTTTAAAACCAAGTTAGTACAAACGTCACTAATGTCACATAACTTTGCCGACATGTGGCCAACAGTAATGTTTAATGTTCTTCGTTATTAAACATTTGCACATAAAAGTGACATAATATTCAGTACTTAAAGTTTACTCTTCGGCCGCCCCTCATCCGCCGTTTTTTTTCGGCAAAATTATCCACACCCACCGCCGCGCTATGCATTCTGGGATATGTTGGGCCACGAAGTCTACACTGCCACAGCCTTAAAATTCAGGAAAAGACGCATTTCAGGGCCGCATTTCGAGCAGCCTTTGAATTGGGACAGCCTTCGGCGCGCCGCTGTGACGTAATCGGCCTTGAAATGCGTACTTTAAGGCTGCAGACCCTGAATTGGGATACAGCCAACATGTCCTGAAGTTCTCCAGAGCCCCGGTAACGAACTAATCATGTGATTCAGGTGTGTTGACCCAAGGTGAGATCTAAAACCTGCAGGGACACCGGCCCTCGTGGACTGAGATTGCCAACCCCTGAGTCATGGGGGTGTCTAAACCAGTACCTATGAAAATATTTATTTTATGTAGAGGAATAAAGTTTCATAATTTCACATAAGTAGACAGAAACTGGCGATATCGTAATATGGTTTAGGCTAAAATATAATCACCAACTTAAAGCCCCTAAAGACAAACCCACTTTGCAGCTGCCCTAAATTGGGATGACTCATGTAGGTTTTCTGTTGTTTTGTCCCACAGCAGCAGGATGATTAAAGAAGGTTGAACACTTTGGTACAATCAGCAGAAACCTCAAGACAAGCATTTTGCTAGAGCAAAGTACAACTGCTGTTGTTACACAGTCTCTCCCACCTCCTTCTACTATCTGAGCCAGGCTCTTATGTAGGCGCTCACCTTAAATAGCTCAAGATAGTGTTACGTCAGATCCTGTGTAGAGGTTCAACTTCAAAAAGCCTGTGAAGTCAGTGGAGCTATAGAATTTAGCCTGTGTTCAAAAACAGAGTCTAGTGTGTCAAATTATAATCCCATTTATTTCTCAAGGATTTGGGATAAAAATAAATAAATAAATAATAATAAAATAAAATACAAAGCTTTTGTTTTTTCCAAGCCTTAATGAAAACTTCTTCTTCCTCCTAGCGTTTTTCCCGCTCGGTTGCAGGGTCCGCTTTTCTGCAAAGTCGTCTCCACTTGGGTCGGTCAAGGGCGTCGGTCAGATCGGCTTCGATCTTCTTCACGTCGTCCTTGATTCGGTCCATCCATCTCCGCTTTGGTCTGCCTCTAGGTCGACGTCCTTGGGGGCTGAGCCGCAGTGCTGTTCTCACCACTGAGTTCTCATCGCTCCGTACCACATGTCCGTACCACCGCAGCCTCGCTTCTTGCATCTTATCAGTGATTGGCGCGATTCCCATCCTCTTTCTAACGTCGGTGTTCATGATGTGGTCCCATCGTGTCAGGCCTAGGCACCATCGCAGCATCCGCATTTCCATCGTGTGAAGGGCTTGTTCGTGCTTTGCGGTGGCTGGCCAGCACTCTGATCCATAGAGGGCGACGGGGCGCACTACACTCTTGTAGATCTTTGACTTGAGGCAATTGGGCATTCTTCGGTCACACAGGACGCCGGTGACTTGGCTCCATTTCATCCACGCTGCGTTGATCCTGGCTCGTACATCTAGTAGGATATCGCCGTCATTGCTGATCATCGATCCGAGGTATTTGAAATGAGGTACTTTCGCCAGATCTTCTCCATCGACGCTGATCGTGCCGTCGGTCTGGGGGCCAGCCTCTAAGTATTCGGTCTTGTTGGTGTTGAGCCTCAGGCCGAAGTCAGCTAGGCGAGTCTTCCACTGCTGCGTTTGGTATTGCAGTTCTATTCGCGATTCATCGGCCAGGAAGACATCGTCGACGTAGAGAAGTGTCCAGGGATGGGGTGACTGGCGATCCGCCGTCGCAGTGTCCATGCAAAGGATGAAGAGCAGCGGGGAGAGTGCCGAGCCTTGGTGGACGCCCACATTGATGTTAAAGGGCGGCGATGTTCCCACTGGGCTTCTGACCACGCTGGTGACTTGTCGGTGCCGCGCAGGTAGCCTTTGTCCACTTCTCACGTCGTTCAGGCGGGGACGACGCGCGTCGCCTGCGGGGGACGCCCTAGCTTTTTGAGACGTCATTGCATGGGATGTGACTGTGGAATACATCGACCGGCGCGTCACTCCACCTGACGTCGAGGACCCTCACCGTTAGCCAACTTCCCGAGGGTCGTTGTTTCCAGCTGGCACCGCGAGGAGGTGGTGATGGGATTTTGCCAGCCCAAGCCTTAATGAAAACTAATGGTTTTTAAATATACCTGAACTCTGCGCACTATTCGCCTCAGCATTGGCTGACCTAGCTCTGCGATTTTACGTGTTATACCACTTAGTGGCTTAGTTGCTGTTGTTCCCAATTGCTTCCTTCCACTTTGTTAAAATACCACTTTCAGTTCCACTTTCGCTTATCCTCATCAGAGTCACAGGGGGGCTGGGGCCTATTCCAACTACCATAGGACGAGAGGTAGGGTACCCCCTGGACAGGTCGCCAACTGACACCATTTAGAATGACCATTTAACCTAATCCCACTAACTACATGTCTTTGGAAAGTGTCTGTTAAAGCCTACCTGTCAACTGCATTAAATTTAGCCAGTGTTGTGCAAATGAGAATAAAAGAAGCTTAACATGACCATACACACACTCACCTCTCTGTCTCTCTCAATCTCCAAACCAGCCTCTAGTAGGTTAGCCTCAAACTCCTGCCTGATTAGACGCATCTCATGGTCACCGGGCTCCATTGGCTCGCCATCTCCTGCTCCTCCAAGCTCCATGAACACCTCGCTGGCGCCCGCACCCTCCCCTCCTGGAATGCCTCCGCCGCCGCCTCCACCACCACCACCACTTCCACCTGGTGCCACATCTGAGGCCGCCATTGAAGGAAAGTTGCCATTAGAAACAATAGATAACCGGTCTTGTGAAACGGAGGCACTAGCAGGAGATCGTATCGAGGTGTGCCTTCGCTGATGAAAGACCAGAACATAGTCGACTTTCCGTCGGCCGTCACTGAAGTAAAGGCCTTCTCCGATGGCATGAGGACCTGAAGTTGATCCCATGACCTGTAAAATATAAATATCAAGCAAACATCAATACTGGTGCACTATATATTAAAAAACCTAAAAGATTTAGAATAATTATTGTAGCGTATCCCAGTCAAATACAAACTGGTTATAGAGAGCATACAACACCTTTAAGCAGCAGTGGAGTTATGTAATAAGTGTTTGAATGAACTTAAACATTACTGCAGTGTCAGTGCACACAACCACAAGTGGCTTTTGGCAGGTTCTCAAAAACACTGAAGTGAGAACCTTCAGCAGCAGAGTGGGCAGTCAGCTCACCTTTGGCTGTTTTATTCTTTATTTAGACAGAGGGAAAGCAGAGAGCGAGACTAAACATGGAGGACACAAGAGGCAAAGCTCTATACTCTGAGCATGATGGGAGATTTCTTACCAGACAGCAGTATAGCGATGCAATGTATGTTGTTGTATTACTCTGTTACACTTTAACCTAAACACACACACTGTGCTTCGGTTGAATACACATCAGGTTTTTTCACATAACGCCAAATCATAGCGAGTGTCATCTTTATACTGTAAAGTAAAGACCAGAGTATTCTGGAGAAAACCCCAACAGTCAAACAATCCCTCATGAGCAAACACTTGGTGAGAATAGAAGGAAAAACTACTTTTAACAGGAAGAAACCTCCAGTAGATTCAGGCTCAGGGAGGGGGTAACCATCTGCCATGACCAGAAACAGGACAAAACAGAGACCAAGGGAGAGAGAAGATGTAACACATGAACGATCACAAAGTGCTTACATTTTAAACTATTTGAGCATGAAATAGACTAGTACACTAAAAAAAGAAAAGAAAGAAAAAACATGCTAAGTTTAACAGCTTGGTTTTTAGAAATATCTGATATGATATAGCTAGAAAAAGCTAGCATCACTATTGAAAGTAATTTTGTTGAATTTGCCAATACTTAATATCACTAAAGCTGATTGAAAACTACATTACAAGAGCAACTTTGAGACAACAGTGTAGGCCTTATCCTTTTTTTCCATAGTGAGAGAAAAGAAAGAGAGTGAACTTCACTCAGAAATGGAGAAAGATAAAAAAGACAGGACAGGAGAGGAAGAAGAGAAGTTAGATTTAAAGGTAAGAACTGCTCAGTTGTGTTTGATGAATGGAAATTTAAAGCTTGCATGCAAGTCCTCATGTTTTTGTGGTATTATGGGGGTTTTCATATTGTGAAACATGCAGCAAATCAAAATGAGGCATGGTTTAAAGGGCACCAGAGATTAATTTAGTTAAATGATGATGATGCTTAGATTCATTAACTGAATTCCACCTTTCATGCCAACTGTATGCCCTAGAGTATAAAGACAGCATAAACAGCATACTGTCAGTGTAGAGGATGGAGATTAATCAGGACAACTCATGAAACACCTGCTGACATCGTGTTAAATTCGGTGTATATCCACAAAGATCAGTAAACCTCAGAGCTTCAGTATCCCCAATCAACTGATCACAGCAGGTACATTAAGAAAATCTACTTGACCTCTCGATAAAAATTATTGTGAGTTGTGATTCTTGTTCCGATGTTGGGCCATTTCAGCTGATTTTAGGGGTCCCCCACCTGCTGAATCCCACTTTAACCTGTACCCTACTCATTTTCTTGTTTAGAGGGAAAGTCACCCTCTACAATGCAGGCAACAGAAAATGGAGCTATTTTTTTTTCTCCTTCCTTTTCTCTGCTCATGTTCTGCTTACCTGTCTCAAGTTGAGTACCTTTATTAGAATTACAATTTAGACAGAAATCATATTTGTATTCCTGTCTACTAATATTATTTTTATGTGACATTAATATAGGACAAAATTCAGTTTGCTTTGCATAAAAATAGATACTAGAGTTAAATAGGTAGTAGAAACATCCTCCAAAGAGCTACTTTTTAACTTTTCTAGAGTACATTTCAGAACCTGCTCATTTTCCACTTTTACTTGAGTAAATAAAATGAACCAGTTCTTGAATTGGTGCATTTTTTTTAAACACTAGTATCTGTAATTCATCCTAAGTAGAGGATGTCATGATTACCAGTTCAGTAATGTGTACTCTATATCACTTTAATGATGCAGCTGATGGTTTTTCTATATATTGTTGAGTAGCATGATTTAAAACAATGTGATTAGAAGCTAAATAAAAAATAATAATATTTTAATGCAATATATATTAGAATAGAGGCAACGAAACAAGCATGACAGAAATAGTTCCTGTCATGCCACCCCATGCCCTTCTTCTGGACACACCCCTGGCAAACACATTGCAGTAAATGACTGAAGCAACTCTTTAAAAAAAATAATTTAAAAAAAAAAGACCAAAACAACAACAATAATAATAATAATAATTCCCTTAGCTACCTTTAACTTGCCAGTTGTTAACCAAACAGACAGCACACCAAACAGCTAGGACTTTTTTAGACATTTGAATTCCTGTCTATCTCGCCAAGTACTGAATAAATGTAAACCCCGGTAGAACAAACCGAATGAGTGTAAATTCAGGAAGGTGTGCATTACCGACTTATTTCATGGCTCAGGCAAGTCAAAACAAGTTTAGATGTTCCTGAAGCATGTATTGCCAAGTCTCACCAGATTAGCTTATCGGTGTAGTTTATTCAAGGTGTTTCTTTCTATCAAGCTAATTAGCTGCACCTGCTGGATGAAAGACCCTATTTCACCTTTGAGCCGTGTCTTCACTTTCAGATTCCACTTCGTTTACAACAACACTCCGTGTGAACTTTAAAAGTCGCTGCTGAGCGGACTCCCAAGAAAAGCTGAGTTAGTATAGCGCCGACCGACTTGGGTCTAATCAACAGACACCTGTGTAACGGTGTAAATTACTCCAGCGCATTGTTCCTAATGTCTCGGGTGTTCTTGTGCTTCAGCTATAGTTGCTATTACAAAAACTGTTTGCTGCATGTGTACAAAGTCTATAGACTATTACTCAAATTACTTACGAAAGCTCCAATTATTTTGACTGCATAACCGCACAACAATACATATTGTCTGCACTACTCTGCAGGACACAAACGCTGCTACAGTCACGCTCCTGGAGCTTCACTATAGTGCTTGTGTTTGCTCACACATAACAGAGAGCGAGAGAGACAGGTGTGCAGGGATTTTTAGTTGCTTTAGTTTAACCAGTACCAAGAATCCCCCGGTAGTTGTTGTTCTGTTAAGAGCTTAATGAAAACTCCTGGGAAGACCTTCCCTGGAGGTTGCCAAACCTTTTACTGAGCCTCACCTGTCTGCTCATCATAAAGTGGTATATGATAGCCAATTATGATGTTCTCACGTATAATCGAAAGTGTCGTCTTACGTTTCTTGCAGCCCCATGGACAAATTAACTAATTATAGGTTCCAAGTAAATATAGTAGATGAAGAAACACTTCAAATCAAAAATTAAAGCCGAGCTTTGTAAAACGAATATGAAAGCTACCATAGAGAGTCGTAAATATGTCACGAACACTGAGGTGTAGTAAAAACTAACTCCAGACCACGACCAAAAGACCAAGAGAAGCGGCGTGCGGGGAGGCTGTCGTTGTACTTACTGGGATCTTGTCTTCACTCGGGGAGACCTGCATGCTGTTGCGCTTTAAAGACACACAGAGGAGGAGTAGTGGGAGAAGAAGAAGAGCAGGAGTGAAAGTTGGCGGTTTAGGCAGAAAAATACCTCCGGATTCATCATCCCTCCCATCCCTCCCATCAGATTCATGAAGTCACTCCAGTTAGTCGACAGTCCAGGTGGAGCGACGGATCGAGTGTCTCAGGTTTCATTATTTTCTTTGTCTGTCAGATGTATGAGGCAGTTCGTATGCAATCGGCAGCCTGATCACATGCTGGTGATACCCATCTATCCAACTGTGTGATCTGGAGGCTGCCTGCGCGCTGCCTGCGCTTTTGGCACGGAGCGTCCCACGCTGTAAAAAATGCCCATCTCCAATATGTTGTTTTGGTCTTGCTGCTCATAGCGACATGTATACTCAAAAAAGAAAAAAAAAATCACCCTCAGTTAATTTGAGTTTTTTAATTTGAATATTTTTTCCCTTTTTTGAGTATACACGTCGCTATGTTCAAAGACTAATTTATTTACATACTTAATCTTTAACCTGAATGTAAAATTACATTTTACATTGTACCTATTGTACCCAACAAAATTACGTGGACATTTTACATTATTAGTTAAAATCAGCATTTTGGGTAGATTTTTCTTTTTCTTTTTTTTTTTTAGTGTATATGACATTCAACCACCTGAAAAAAAGACCAAGTTTATTTACAGTAAAATATAGGACTCCCCAAAGTGTTTGTTACTTTTCATTTTTAGTTTTGGGTAAGATGGTTAGGATGGACACTTTTTGCAGCGTGGAGAGAGGGAGCAGCATTGGCTGTTTCCACACTTCGGTGATGTAACTTGCAGGGAGACCTGTGTTTTCACATTATTAAAGCAGCAAAATGTTTTTGAAACAGTGCTTTTGTGCCCCAGCAGCATATCTGTGCTTTTCACAGCATGTCAGTTTTTCTATTTTAAATTTGAACGATTTCTCTTTCTTTTTGTGCGTTTGTGTTTGTGTGATGGAGGGACTAACGTACAAGTGTAAGGAAATGGTATGCAAAGAAAAGAAAGAGAAGTGAGCACATTTTTGTGTTGCATCAGTACATGTTCTGTGAACTGTGTTTTGAAGCATTATAAAGGGTGTATTGTAGACCCCCCCCCC